CCACTTGATGTCCATTATTTGAGAAAAATAATGCTTTGAATAATGATTTCTAGGAGAATGTGGGGTTAAAAAGTAGATAAAAGTTTTTGGTTTACGTGGAGAATATTTTATTGTATGCGTGGTTGAAAATGAGAGTAGAAAAAGGTTTTTAAATAATGGTTGTCAAACAGGGGCCTAGTAGAATGCTAACATTTCTGCTAAATCATCTTTCATCCTTTGAAATATTGACATTGTGGTAAATATCAAACTCTGCCCCCTCTCTTGCTTCTGTTGTCAACTTCAATCTATTCTCTGTTTTCTTTTGTTTTTCATTGATTATTCTCGTAAACTTTTATCATGGGTTAGTAAAATTTTAAACCTAGTGTCGGTTCAAGTTACCAATCGTTGCTACACGCGGTTCAAGAATCCACTCCACGGGAGAGGCATTTGAAGATAAATGCCTTTCTTCCTTTTGATTTCAATACTTTGTTAGGTAATTCTTTTTTATGATGTCAGTCAAAAGTTCTTTATAGTTTAACTTTTGAGATGTTCGTTGACTGAATTACAAGGCGTGGATATAAAAAAGAGTGAATATACAAAACTGAATCACTAAAGTAGAGTTTATCAAAAAATTTCACCAAAGTAGATTTGCATTTAAGTACTTATGGTGCTAAATGAAGCCGAACAACCAAAATGTGTAGTGAAATCATTTTAAAATTTGATTATTCCTGGTTATAATTCCTCTCTTCCAGGGCAACAAAGCATTTTATCTTCTGTTGTTTTCTTATGCTATTGGTTACCCCCCGAGCCATGTGACATAAAAGCACAATAATAACCATCAGTGGTTCTCCAAAACCCAGCTACTCATGACATTTCAGTAGCTCAGTTTTCCTCATGAACATTTCTTTTCTTCACTGAAATGCTCTGAACTGTGTTTTTATGAGGTGAGAGGAGAATGTGTGATTACCTTTGTGGTGCTTTTTGCATTGGAAGGCATTTTGAATCAAAAGCCTGTGCATGTGGTATGTGCCTTTTGGATATGGATTTTTACTTTGAATAGAACAATTGGCAGAAAATTTAGCTAATATAACATCACGTGACATAATTGAGCTGCCCTAAGAGTTGCTTGATGCTGACATCAAGCGATGACTAATCAAGCAAGTAAGCAACTATAGTGCACCGACACGGGTGTGTGTCAGACATGATACGTGTTGGATGCACTGATAAGTGATTTTTAAAAAAAGTACCGACACGACACTTGCGCGACACGTTGATTAAATTCTTACCCTCATTTGGCGCCCATTATTTCACATCTTTTTCTTCTTTTTCAATCACATATTTTTCAAAAAAAAACTATTCCAAAAATTATAATACCAAATAATGGAGGCCAAACGGGGGCTTAATTCATGTAGTATAATTTTTGTTTTATACTTGTTATTGGTTTTTTTCTTGAAATCTTTTAAATATGCATATCTATTTGTTATTTACTAATAATTTTGAATTAAAATTATATAATATTTCTAATAAAAAAAAATGATTGTGGTAGAGTGTCTTAGAAGTGTCGATATTTGACACGTGTTGAACACGGACATGTTACCCTAGTTGAAGTGTCCATGCTACGGAGTCAAGCAGAGCTTTAACCCCATTCTCCCGGATCATGCCCCTAGTTAGTTTCATAAATGCCTTTTAAAACATTGGACCAAAAGAGGTCACAGGAGGCATAATTCGACATCTGCTATGAAGTTACAGGCAGCACTCTCAATAATCAACTAAGGATGGAGGAGTTAAGAAGCTAAACCTCACAACAACCCATCAGTGGATTTCCCCCATTGGGAAATAACAGAATGTGTCATGGAGTGTGACCTCAAAAAAGCATTCGATAATTTGAGTAATATAGACCAGCTGAAAATATATATCAGGATAGAAATGTGCTATTTACAGAAGTCAGAAGAAATCCATTGGTTGCTTTAAGAATTCGAAAATGGTTTTTTTCTTCTTTTTTTTGCCTGAATGTCTTTTTTAAAGTATTCCAGCTTCTAGTAGCATTTACGGGATGTGATTTTAAGAAACAATGTGGCGAAGCTGTAGAATTGCAGGGAGAAGAGAGTTGAAAGAACTACAAATTTGTTTTCTGGATGAAAGAATATGTTTGTCGCATAAAAAGTTAAAAAAGAATAATATCATTAAGCTAATAGCATGGAGCTATTAGTTGTATTTCAAGAAACACTAGAAGTTAATTGTCTATTTTCAACACAGCAATGGGAGCTATGGGAAATTAGGAAAGAACAACGCATAAAATACTTTTTCCATTAAGTTGTGTTACTTGTAATATTTTGAATTCTAGTGAAGTCTCATAGGCTAGTAAGTAAATTCTTGCTGACATTATAACAAGAAGATTTATATATTCCAATAATGATCCTATAATATTACATCCACATTAGAATGTCTCTGTTTGATTTGGCATGGCATCAAATGTTGGTTAGGAATTATAAAATGGGTATTTGGTTTAGCTTTTTATTTTTACCCTTAAGAATTGCAGCCAAGATCTTCATCTTGCGGTCTAAGTAAAAGGTTTTTCTGGTAGTGCATGGCTATTTTGGGAAGGAGGACATCCTTTGTGAACGTCCTGGAAAGGAATTGAGGACAGTCATTGCTGATGTGGGCTATATGATCTTATCATGTTCTCCAAGCGCAATCAGCGAAGTTCTATGTAGACTGTCTTCTTTTAGACATTACTTGCTATTTTAGGTGGATTGGAAATTTTCACTTCATATTGTCAGATTTCTGTAGTACTATTTATGCAAAACCGATGGTGCATACACGTGTAACTCAAAAATTGATTTCTCTTTTCCTTTCCTCCCTCCTATTTTCCAATCTTTTTCCTTCTTCAATGATCGCTGACACTAAATATATCATGAATAAGGCTGATATTGTAGTTTGTTGTTGTTTGGGTCCACAAGGTGTTAGCCTGATGTGGTATTGTCAATGCTCTAGCATCAAACAATTCGTATAGTAATTGTTTTTGTAATATACAGTACTTAAATGGTAATCTTGCTCATTTGCAGGTAGACACAACAGCATGCCTTTGTCGGGTAGATGCAGGCCTCAAAACTGTATCTGGAGCTAAAAAGTATGTGCCGGGTACAAAGCTTTGTCTTCGACCTGACATCAAACCTTCTATTCACCCCACTAGACAGAAGTCACCACATGACAGAAATTGGAGTCAATCCCCTCTGCTTCCTGGACTTCCAGATGACCTTGCCATTGCTTGCTTGATCCGTGTTCCAAGAAATGAGCATCGAAAGCTCCGGTTAGTCTGCAAGAGATGGGGACGTCTTTTGGCAGGTAATTTTTTTTACTCACTTAGGAAGAATCTTGGAATTACAGAGGAATGGATATACGTTATGAAGAAAGACCGAGATGGAAAAATATCATGGCACGCCTTTGACCCCATATACCAGCTTTGGCAGCCTCTTCCTCCCGTCCCCAAAGAATATTCTGAAGCCCACGGTTTTGGGTGTGCTGTCCTTAGCGGTTGTCACCTCTATTTGTTTGGTGGCAAAGATCCAGTGAAAGGTTCAATGAGGAAAGTCATTTTTTATAGTGCCCGCACTAATAAATGGCATCGAGCCCCAGAAATGCTTCGGAGGCGACAATTTTTTGGCTGTTGTGTTATAAACAACTGTTTGTATGTAGCTGGTGGGGAGAATGAGGGCGTTCACCGGTCCTTAAGATCAGCCGAAGTTTATGATCCTAACAAGAACAGGTGGTCCTACATTTCTGATATGAGCACTGCAATGGTGCCTTTTGTAGGGGTCGTTTATGAAGGCAAGTGGTTCTTGAAGGGGATAGGTTCCCACCGACAGGTTTCAAGCGAGGTCTACCAACCTGAAACAGATAGCTGGCGCCCCATCTATGATGGTCTGGTTGCAGGTTGGAGGAGCCCGAGCACTACGGTTAGAGGCCATCTCTACGCGATGGACTGCAAAGATGGCTGCAATCGTCGAGTTTATGACGAAGCAACTGGTTCTTGGAGCAAACAGATTGATGGTAAAATGCATTTAGGGAACTCAAAAGCTTTAGAGGCTGCAGCACTTCTCCCTCTTAACGGGAAGTTATGCATCATTCGGAACAACATGAGTATTTCACTAGTCGACGTCTCGAAATCAGACCATGGTAGCAGCTCGACTGATGAGCATCTGTGGGAAACTATCGCAGGGAAAGGGCATTTCAAGACTTTAATGACGAATTTTTTTTCAAACCTCGCAGGTAGGAACCGCTTCAAAAGTCACATTGTTCACAGCCAGGTTCTTCATGCTTGAAGATCGTAATTATACATGAGCCTAAGGAGACCATCAATGCTCAAGGCTGTTCTTGTAGGAGAAAAGATGTTAGCATGTGCCGGTAGGTGCCAGACAAGATTACCATGTTTGTTTTCCATCCTAGACTGTAGTGCTGCATATATTTACAAGCGTATAAAGTGTTAAATTTCTGGTAAAAGGGAAAGCACATCGAACTGTTGAAGTAGTGGATTCATTGTACATCCTGTTATTGTATCAAAAGTTTGTTATGCAATAAACCTAGGTTTTCCGAACAATATATAAGTTTCATTTTGGCTTTCTGAAAAATTGTTGATGACATGTTGAGCTTGTTCGATATGTAGGTTCCTGGAAGCCCAGCTTTATGAGTAAACAAACTTTTCCATTTTCGTCGAGACATTTTCAATTTGGGAATTTTGGCAGATTCGTTATCTTCTATTCGTTTGCCACTTTGCCAATCGCTGATGTCAGCGGTGCAATAGTTTTTTTTTGGGTCCTAACCTCACATTTTTTACCGAGTTTTGCTACACAAACATAATGCTTGATATAAGGGATGAAACAACACACACATGGGGGAGGTCGGCATTATTTAATTCAGGTCGGGATCCACATGCAATGTGAGAGATCGGTCAACTCCTATGTCAAGCATTATGTTTATTTAACTTAATTCTTTTTTATCTACCCACCCAAACACCCAGTCGCCCCAGTTATCACCTCACCCACCCCATTTCATATAAATGATTTCTTTTTTATTTTTGTTTCAATTTTCGAGACTATTNTGGGTTGCAGCCTAAGAGTTGAGGTTAGACTTCTTAATGAATGGAACAATATAGAAAGTCCCATCTGCACCACTTGATCAAACCCTGGCTAGGATTGATTTTGCTGATAAATTCAATTCTATCAATCAGGTGTTCTTATATGTGTGGTGTCTGTAAGCTTAGAAGGGGCCGTGAGCTTATCATAACCTGTTATTTAGGTTTAGTAGTGTGATCAGTTTGCACGTTGTTGGGGGGCGAAATCTGTCTTAAGGATATTTGCTTTGGCATACCTCGCTTCATCTTCTTTTACCATTTTTCCTGCTTTTTTATTTGTTCTTTCGATTGGGATAGTCGAATTTCCGACAACACTTATAAGTGCATCTATACGCATATACTCTTTTGTTGCCAGACTGGGTTTATGCTCTCATGGTCAATAAAAAGGCCAGAGTCGAATAACATTAATTATATTTCTATGGACTTCGGGCTTTACTTTTCGGTATCAAATTATACTTAGTCTCCTTGTGTTTGTTTCAACTCTCAATGTCATTCAATTACCCAAGTAGTGAATGAATTTTAGCGCTACTAAAAGAATTTTTCTCAGGTTTTCTTGAGCGGCCTCCTTTTCTATAATATACCTGTTCTTCTCTCTTCCTATGTCAGCTTTCTAATCAACTTCTATCTGGATTTCCCAGAAATGAAGTCAGAGCATTGCTTCTTCTTTCTCATATTCTGATTGATCTCAATTTGGAGGAAATATACTAACAAGTTAAAGTTGAAAAATAAGAGGAGGAACCAATCTGTGAATATACAAGTTTCAACTAATATTTGAATTTTAAAATGTTGTACCAAAAAGTAGAGCTCCTGATTATCTTCGTGGGTTAAGATGGGAATATAATTATAGGACCACAGTGATGCATGCTTCTATTTATCATTTGTGTTGTTCAAAAAGAAAAGATACTGTTTTGGTATAACTGTAGTCTTGCTATTGAACTTCTCAATATTTTTTTGACAGAATGACTATGTTCAATCAGATCAGCGAGCTTTCTATTATCTGGAGAAGGCAGTTGACCAGGTATGTCCTGCAAGGCATGCACATGCTGTAATGCTTTCTTCATATGCTGTGATACTTTATCGAAACTCGTTATGTTCTAGCTGCATCCAGGTGCTCTCTACCTCTTAGGTGCTGTTTATTTGACAGGGGATTGCGTGAAAAAAGATGATGCCTCGGCATTGTGGTGTTTCCATAGAGCATGTGAAACGGTAGTAGTAGTTGTTTCACTGCTGCTAGTTGAGATGTGATTACTGCTGGTTTCAGTCAGTGATGCTTTTTCCTTGGTGAACTATTGTGGTACTAAGGGCATGCTTTGCCAAATTTAGAAAAAGTAAATTACTTCCTGGAAATTAAGTGAAGGATTACTTTTACATATATTGAGTTTTTGAACTACAAAATCCAAAATAAGTAACTACTATAAAACCTCAAATGTGTTTGGTAAAAATATTTACATAGGAGTAACTTCTATTCTTAGCCAAACATGCTCTAAATGTATCTGCGAAAGTTTTGAGGCTTGTTCCATTATCTGCCGGCCTTCTGAATGTTTGAACGTTTATATGGTTCTAGTAAGAGAACTTTCATTTGCAGAACTCTCTTCATTCTGTGAGTATTCATGCAGGGCCATGCTGGTGCTGCTATAGCCTATGGATCTCTTCTTCTTAGAGGTCTCTCTTCCCTTGCACAAAATGCCTGACAGTGTACCTTTTCCGTTGACTTGGCAAAATACAGATGTCAGTGTTATTGCTGTCTAAAACATTTTCATATCAAACATATACACATAGTTAACATTGTTTACCAAGAAATTATTTTTCATAGTTTAGCAAATTGTTACATCTTTAGATTTCTTGTACTGTAGTTTTATCATCAGTACTAACATGGATGATACAGGAAGAAAGGATTTCTTAAAGAAACCCCAAGTTCAGGGTACTGCATAGAAGATATTTCGGAGTGGAAAATGATAAAACTTTACTTAGTTTATACTGTAAAACAATGAAAATTCTAAGCTTATTATACTTCAACCTGTACATAATGTGTGATAAATAGATTATCCACCTCCCATTTGTTCCTCCTCGTCAGAATCTGATTCTCTTTCATCTTCTTCACTCCAAGTGATGCTCATGGCCTTCTTTGTATATAACTTTTTCAGTGCATTGGCACACTCCGATGCTATATGACCATATCCTTCACATTCAAAGCATTTGATACGATTTTCAGTTCTTTCTAGAGATGCAGTTGGATTTTGACTTGAATTGTCAAATAATTTCTTCTTTTGTGGTGGTTGAGGTCTTGAGCTTCTTCCTTTTTGATTTTCCCAAGTGGTCCTTGTTAATCTTTCTTAATTTTTTTCAGGTTTATGAATTAGTATTTTGTTACAAATGTTTTAGGGGTTCAAGTTCCTGAGCTACTAACCAAATTCAATGCAAAAAGAGGATATCCTCCAACAGAAAATCGAGGAAGAATGCTAGAAGCCTCGAACTTAATCCAGTTGAAATGGCAAGAGAACAATTCGAGATAGCTGCCAAATCTGGATGTGGTCTTGGATTTAGATGGTTAGAAAGACTCGAGGAGGAAGAGAAGCACCTGCTCGTTTCACAATCATGATCATCATACGAGGCATAGCGACTCATTAAACATTGATCGACAACATATGCATCAAGTAGTAGAGTAATCTGAATAAGTAGATGAGAACAATTCACAAATCCTATTATCAATTTCAGTTTGTTATGTTCAGGCTGGAGATAGTTGTGCTGCCCGGAGTTCAATTTTTCGTCTTTTGTTTTTAGCAGAACATATCAATCATATCCCATGCCGGTGCATGACACCAGGCTATTCATTATTAAGAATGCCTTAACAAGCAGGATTTGTACCATGAAACCAGGAAACACGGAGAAAAGGAGAAAAAGCATTATTCTAGTGTTACATCAAATACATTGTATATTTTAATCTTTCTTTATATTATTTGTTGCATGCACCGTGTATAATCTTTATTAACCTGCGTGTTCTAAATAGCTTTTCTAAGCGGCGTCCAGGCATCGCCTAGGCTCGAAGTTCGGGCAAAACACGTTGCTTCACACCTAGGCTTTTTTTTTTTTTGTTTTAATTCTTAAACGGTTGAGTTTTTCCTTCATCTCTTTCATCTTCCTCAGGCGCGCTTTATTAATATTTTTTTATTTTTAAAAAAATTCTTTTATTTGACTTTAGTTTCAAGTTTTAAAAAGACTTTATCTGTACAGAAATTAAAAATGACTTTATTCGATAAAGAGTGAAATAAAATTTAAGCTACGGTGTTATTTAGATATGTAATTTTGATCTTGAGACTTGTTGTTTTGTTGAAAACTTCGAAAGCATGTATGATGTTACTATAAATCTATTAAGTATGATTTGTCTAGTTGAAAATTGAAACTATGAAAAATAGTCTATATTTTGTATTTCGAAAACTTGAAAATTGTATAATCACTAATTATAGGAATTATTAAGTAATTATAATATTTTTATAATTTTAGATGTTTGATATTTATTATTTTAATTATTAAATGATTTTTAAAATGGTTAAAAATTTTAAATAATATTAAAAAGAAGAAAATACTTTTTTACGCCTAGGCGTTACTTAGGCTCGTAAAACTTGAACCTCATGCAGAACATTGTTATTAACTCATCCAATACTGGTCAATTTGTAGACAATTTTGTAGCATATCATGAAATGGAAACTGGTTTACCAGCAGAATTAGTGAAGTTTGTTGTAAGGAATAACAAAGATATACAGTGAATGTTGAAACATTGGCAGAGCCTTTAAACCATGAGATTGCTTGATAGAATGAGCAACACTGTCCAATTACTAGTATAGTACCATGGTATTCTATGATCCACCATCGTGGACACGTGTTTGACATAACAAAGATATACAGTGAATGTTGAAACATTGGCAGAGCCTTTAAACCATGAGATTGCTTGATAGAATGAGCAACAAGGTCTAATTACTAGTATAGTACCATGGTATTATTCTATGATCCACCATCATGGACACATGTGTTCGACACGATACATGTCTGATGTATAGACACATGATTTAAAAAAAAAAAAAAATACTGACACGATATATCGCCGACACGTTGATTAATTTTTTTAAAATTCTTCATTTATATAAGGTTTAGGGTTTAGGCTTTTCTTTTTGAAATCTTTTAAATATAAATACTTATTTATTATTAACTAATAAGTTTGAGTTAAAAATAAAAAGAATAAAAATGTTTATGATAGAGTGTCCGAGTAATGTCGATATGATACGTAGGATACAGACACGCTACCCAGCCTTTCCTAATTGAAGTGTTCGTATAAGTATTTATATATGCGTGTGCATATATGAGTCCGTATACACCTCCGTTTTTGTGGGCTTCTTGTGCGGCAACACGTTCCCCATCTCTCTGATTGTCTCTATAGGCTTAGTTATGATGGTCTTAAATTGTATTTGGTGCTGCAGGAGATAGGGTTTGTTGCTTCTTGTTGCCAAAAGATATGGAAAACTAAGCCATTCACCGCGTATGGGTAGTGGGTACCAATATGCTGACAACAAAAGTCTGGTGTTTTTTTCGTCAAGGTGCTGAACTTGCAACTATTGGAAAATCTGCCAAACAAGAGCTTGGTAAGCTGAATTATTGGTGATAGGGTTGTGATAGTCTTGTAGATGCTAGAAGTTTGGAAGAGTAGTAGTAGTTAGTGTCTCTTACGTGGGATGGAATGGACAAGTGGTTATATTGGTCGAGGAGCTGATAAGTTAGGTAAACTGTCACATCTCTTGATAGTTAATGGACGTGAAAACTAAACTTTTACGTTCAATTATCTCATCTTTGAATTTTTGTGGTCAATCATGCTTCAATGATGTCTTCCCAGCTCTTAACTTCTAAAAAAAAAAAAAAATTACTTATGTATTTTTTCCTTTTTTAGTTTTGTATGTTTATTTTTTTTTCTTTTTCAAATTTGAGGATTAATTTGTCTATTTAACTAAGTATTTTTCTAGAGAGTTAAATATAAGATTATTATATTCACATTACCTTTTTTTTTTTGTTGGCAACACCATATTTTAATTGTGATGAAAGTCTCCAATTTTTCTCATTTTGACAATTATGTTCCCTGATCTTTTGTCGCATTCTTATCTTCAACAATTAATTAATTAGTGCCTCTAATGACGATTTTTATCTAAATATTCTATTACTGTGGTTCTCTTTTGAATGTGTTGTTTATCTTGCTTATGTAAATATACGATGGACAAATAAATCTTTTTATTTCCCTAATGAATTTTTTGATCGTTAACCAGGACTATGCATTAATTAATAGAAGTTCATAGTAAAAACACGATGACAAAAGTAAAAGTAGAGATATCAACGGGTCGAGCAGGCTTGTGACTCGCGCACAACCCGATAAAAAAAAAAAAAGCTCGAACTTTTTGAACTCGAGCTGAGCCAAAGCCTGGTAGAAATATGGAGGCTTGACTCGGGCTTCACTGAGCTGAGCCACGGATTTTTTTTTCTTAAATTCATGAAATATTCACGTAAAGAAGCCAAACAAATTCTTATTCTCGACTAAAATACAATAAATTTTTTTCTATAAATACGAGAATATATGAATTAGAGTACAATTTTCATGTGTATAAATATCCTAATATTCACTTGTAGAATTAAAATATTGGAATAGAAAATGTCTTTTAAGTTTCAACACCACAAGATAACAAATAATATTATATTAATTCTTATATAATGAAATTTAAAATTTATATCAATAAAATATAACGGGAATACTAATGAGTGTGATAATAAATTATAAATACAGATAATTATGAATATTAATTATGTAAGTATATTTATAAATTATACTTTATTGATTTAAATCTTAAATTAAGTATTAATAAAAAAATTGAAAATTGGCAACGAGTCGGACCGAATCTGTGACCTGGGCCATTTTCACGAGCCGGCACAGGTTCGAGCCAATTCTTAAAATTTGGGCTTGGTCCGAGACCTGAGACGAATCGCCTCCAGCTTTTTCCTAACTGAGCCGCAAGAGACGACGAGCTCATTTGTCATCCCTAAGCAAGGGACATAAGTGTAAAAATAAGTTAGTTAAAAACTTCCATTACAATTAAAATGTGATATAATTAAAAATAATAAATGGTTTGAACATAATTACCCTTATATATACGCGTGGTCACTAGAGCATCAGTTTATGTGTTATCATGTAATATGTTCAATTAAAGATAAAATTATGCGATTCATTTAATTGTACATATCGTTTAATGACACTTATTGTCACATAAATCGATGTTGTAACGTCGGTTATGCCAAATAATATTACTCTTTTTAAAATTTCACATTAGTTGTTTTAACACGTTTCTGAATGAAAATAGTGAGTTCGGACTAATTTCATCGAAAAATGGAAGGTTGAGAGTTGAGACTTTTCTAAAGAGAAATTATTTTTAAATCTAAAAATGTAAAAGGAGTCAGAAGTTGAGGACTCGTATGCAATTAACGTAAAACAATGGGAAACCCTAATTGATGTTCTTCTGATTAATAAATACACACATTGATTCGGATTTAGATTTGTTGACTTGCAACGGTGATTCAGCAATTGAAATTGGTAAATCAATGGAGGAAATCACGGATTTAGTGAACAACATTAATATCAATGGAGATTCTTACAAGAAGAACCGAATCCAGGTCTCCAACACCAAAAAGCCTCTCTTCTTTTACGTTGGCCTCGCCAAGGTGATTATTGATTGTATTGGTATTCTGTTCCAATTTCTTCCTATTTTTTAAATAAATAAATCTCTATCTTTGTGCTATATATGTATGTATATTTATATGAACGCGTATGTGTGTGTGTGTGTATATAAATCTGAGTTTTGATTGTTTGGACTTGAAATTAGTGTACTGTACATTATGTGTGCAGAGATATATGCAGCAGTACAACGAGGTTGAACTTTCCGCTCTTGGGATGGGTATTGTTTTATCTCTCTATCTCCACACACACACACACACACACACAAAAGCATTAGATTGGTGACTGTTATTTTTGTTGTGGGATTCAATATAGTTGTTTTTCCCTTACAGCTGCATTTGGTTGATTAATACGGTGTAATGTGGCTTTGTAGCCAGACAGTTCTTTTGCATTGATTGATGCACGGATTTGTGTATGATTGTGTGTGGCGTATTTAAGAAATATTCTATTTTTCAGTTTTTTTGCATAATTGAGTCTAAATGGATCTATGAAATTGTGTCTGTACTGCATTTGTAATTGAGTTCTTTGCATTTTTTTTTTTTTTTGATTGCTAAGCTTAAATAAAATGCTAAACTAGTAATTGTAAGGACCTGTTACTGGATTTGAGTTGAATATGTGTTTTTACTTCTGCTTAGTCGAACTTTAGTTGAATAAGTCAATAAAATGGGTACTTACAAATCAATAGGATCTGCAAGGGTTACAACCTTAGGGGTCAAATGTGCGTTTTCGTGGCAGATTGACCTTTTTTTTTAACCCTAGATAAGAAAATGACTAGTTTTATAATGAGCTATATTTTTTTGTTGTGGCATGGCCTTATTTATTTTCAAGATCGAATATTTTCCCATGCTTATGTGTGAAAAAAATTCTGATTTCATTAAATTAGTTATTTGGACTCCCTCAATGTAGTTATTTGTGGGGGAGAGGGCATTGTCTTCTGATATATAGATTCAATAAATATGGTTGTTTCAGAATGAAAATGAAGCTGTGTATTAAATCAGGATGCCTCAATGATTTTCATATTTCATTTTGAGTGTGTTTGGGGGTAGAAATTAGGGCATATGCCATAGCTATGATAGCTTCATTACTGTAGGTGTCATGTGGGACATTTTAGATGCTGATGATCCTCCTTGTTCCACCCTGGCTTTTACTCTTTGCATTTGTAGGAGGGTATTTTTGCTTTAAACAGGTGGTGACAGTCTTTGGGAATTTTTCCATTTTTCATGTTCTGTTCACTTATGAACTAGAGTTGCAGAAGTTATTTCAAGATATATTGTGCCATGGAAAGCATATTTGATGATATTCGCTGTTTATCCTTTATTGTTGATTGTTGTCGACTTTTAGTTTACCCGTAGCTTAATCTATGCCGGATAATTTTTCTTTCTTTTGTATATTCTACTACATCTCTAATACTTTCATTTTTCATTTTAGTCTCTGACCTGGACTAGTATTGGTTACTCTCTCCTGTATTTGCAGCTATTTCTACAGTTGTGAGTGTGGCCGAAATTCTGAAGAATAATGGATTTGCAGTTGAGAAAAGTAAGGCTCTCAGCTCTCAATTTATTATTCTTTACAGTTAACATCATATTATCTGCAAATTCATTGATCTTCCTTTATAACCACGTTATCCTGTTATTCTTCACATATTGAACGAAGATGTTTTATACACTGCAGAGATAATGACGTCTACTGTTGAGATTAAAGATGAAATGAGAGGACGGATAATCACAAAAGCAAAAGTAAGTTTGTAATCTAATTGTTGGCTTTGATATGCATATTTGTTGGCAAAATACTCACTTATCCATGTTGATGTATCAGTGTGAAATACATTCTTCCACACTGATTCATATTTCTATTTTTTTCTTTTTTTACAATTTTCTTTTCCCTTTTGGGTATGTGGAGTGACCAGGCTCAGATAACAAATGCGATACGTATTTTTTCATTGAATATTGCCTCGTTGCTGTTTGTTTATAGCTTGAGATAGTGCTGGGGAAGACGGATAAATTTGAGGAATTGATGGCAGCTGCGGCAGAGGCGAGAGCTGGAGATGATGATGGGCAGGTTTAAAGATGGGATTTCATATTTTTTTTTTCCCTCTTATTCACCATTTATTTTGTTTTATTCAAATTTCTAGTTGAGGTGAAACGCATTTCTATGTATACTTTTTCTGGATCCAACAATTATAATAGCTGAGACTCTTCATGTTAGCCCATGAATATGTGAATACGTCGATGAGTATCTAATTTTCTTGCAACTCTATTTATCGTTCGCCTTCCTTAATTAAATTTGTTCTAATACTAAGATTTCTAGTTAGAAACTGTTCCTCGAAGGTAAGCATGTAATTGTTTCATGATTTCTCTCGAATGAACACTGAATCGAGGTAAATAAATTTACATATAATGACGAATTATATAAACTTTTGGACTCAACGTGCGTGCTTGCTATGGATTTTATATGAATTTTAGTGAAAACTTGAGTTTATGTTCAACTGAGAGAGAGAGAGACGTGAGATAGGGATGACTTTCGCGCATCCGCGTGTGCACACGGGTATAATAGGAATTACTCCACCTGTACAGAAAATCTGTACATATCGTTCGACTCCGTTGATTTGAATTATGTAGAGGAGCTCTGTATAATAGTGCTTTGTTAGTATTTCGGTTCACTTATACCTTGTTTGGCCTTAATTTTCTAATTTTTTTTTTCCAAATTCATTTTCGTCACGAATTAAATGAGACTCACAACCTTTATTAACTTTTTAATTACACATTTCACTAATTTTTATCGAAATTGAAAATTTATAAAAAAAATTAATTTTTATCCCAATCAAACAGGGACTTGATATACAGAAAACGTGAGGTAGGAAGAGTGTCAGACTGCATGTGATTCCTTTTTTAAGTAGGAAGAGTATCAGACTTAATTTGACTTGTCCAAATTAATTTTTTTCGCGAGTCTATTATGCACTATTTAATACGAGCTTCAAATGAGTTCAATATTGATGGGATAATTCTCGCTCCAATAAATACGAATTTTGTTATGAAAAGAGAGAATAAGAGAAGAGAATAAGAGAAATTAATAGACTTGTGTGTATTATAATGAGAACCAAAGTCCTATATTTATAGGGAAGGAATATGGATACATATGGTAATTATATCTAGGGCTGCAAGGAAACAAGTGTCATTCACATTAAACCCTAATTTACTTTCCTTTTACAATACTCCCCCTTGAATGACACATTACAAAATATTTGTCTTGTTAAAACCTTGTTTGATAAAAATCTAATGGGACCAAAAAAAATCAAAACGAAGGAAAAAGAGTACAGTTATTTTGGAGTATTAAAGATAAATGCTCTCTCATTAAAACCTTGCTAGGAAAATCCAGTGGGATAAAACCTAAACAA